AAAACAATAATATTTAATGTAAAAATTTTTATTATTTTATTATTTCCCTTCTACGTGACTTTACCGAAAGAACCAAGAAGATGAATCCCTGCAGTCACGAAAGCTTCAAATCGACATTGTGGGGGTTTTTTTTTTTACTTCGCATGCCTGTGGTTAGTTATGAGTGTGCCAATGAGTAATGTGAAGAAGGGATATTCGAACTGCCTGATTTCAGGATGGTAAAGTAAAAAAAAACTAGTCAAGACGGAGACCCACAAAAACTGGGCCACCCCAGATCAATGAGGGCAACGCCCACAGCTTAGAGTCTTAGACCCACGAGCTGCTGCTCACCATGCCGGCTCGACAGGAGCACCCTTGGCCATCTCGTCCAGACTTCCCAGCAGTTTCTCCAGCCCTTCCTCTTTCACAATCAGATCCATTTCCTCCTGTCAGGCACAGAGACACACACAGAGACACGCACGTAAACTGTGGTGAATATTCATATTCTTAGGTTTTTTCGGTAAAGTCCCGTAGGTAAAAAATTTAAATTAATAAAAGTTAAATAAAAATCACGACGTTTCGGAGGCAACACAAGCTTCCGTCTTCAGGTGGAACCGTCACGGCACGATAGCTGTATCAAGTGTGGTGAATGCCTGGAATGCGAGTTGAACACATCAGATGCTTGAATTGCACTTTATCCATAACAGAGATGTTTTGGTTTAGATCGCGTAAATATAAATGTGTCGTTATGTCCTGTCGCCTGATGATGCTGATTGTAATTACCGACGAAACGACACGGTCTTCGAATTGTAAATGTTGTAGTGGGTTTACTCTCCAACACACAACCGGTTAGTGCTGTACTAGTATAGAATTGGCATGTTTTGTTTACGTGACAAACCTTACTATTTGGCTGTGTCGGGTGGTGGCGGGTTGAACGACGCATTTATATTTACGCGATCTAACCCAAAAAAAACCTCTATTATGGTTATTTGTATTCATTTTATTCATTCATATTTTGATCAGGCATTTGTCCTGCATTGGGATGTTTGACCAGTGCCATTGATGACAATTTGACTTAGTGTGGGAGGTGGAGGGGGTAGCACTCAAAGCTCAGCACAAATAGATTAACAAATTCATAGCTGCACTGGTCACCTCGTTAAAAGGTAAGTTTTACAAGTTGACTGTTGATTTTTTTTGTTTAAGCTGACCCGATGAAAATAAGAAAAAAAATTATTGCTGAAGTTGAGGGTTTTACGAGATCTCCTTTCTGTGTACGTGTTTTTTTTTCTTCTTCAAGTTGACAAGACACCCGCTGGCACACCTTGATGGCGTTGCGAAGATGCTCCTTGGAATTTTCGTGGATTTTCTTGAGCAGCTCAGGCTTGTGTGCGTGCACCATGGGGTAAGCCTTCACAAAGCGCTTCAGCCTGCAGCAGAGACAGACACACGTGCCTGTGTTCAACGCACTATACGTAACCGATGCATCCGTTCAAATCATTTACGTTGATTCTTATTCTCTCGCAATACGCGCATCGGTTTGGGGGTTGGGGGAAAAAACTATATTTTTAAATCCTTTATATTAAGTTCACTTGCTTGCTTGCTTGCGCGCTTACGACCGTGCTAATCTTTCGGTCGTTTTTTAACCCACTTCCCGCGATCCAATCGAGCTGACATTTTGCACACAGACTCGTTGTGCGTGACAATTTATTTTCGTGAATTTTTTTTTCCAAAATTTTACACTTTTTAGGAAAAAATAAATTATATTTAATTACCAATTGCTTAATGGTGGCAGGCAATCATCTGACCCATAGGTGGCAGCCATCTCAAGCCAGAGGACGAGAGGACTCTAGCCGCCACGCATTAAAGGATTTAAAGTGAAAAACTTTGTTTTTACGGGTAAATTTTTTTATAGTTTGAACGTGTAATGCGCACAATGTTCGCTCACTCTAGGAGATAACTCCGATGACTCAGAACTACGAAAAATCTAATAATCAGAATATTTATTTATACTGGAAGAAATCCGATGGCTATGAAGCTCTTTTTTCCACAGATGTACGGGGTCAGAACGTGACAAAAAAAAACAATACAAAAACATGATAGTGCTGTAAAGTACAAGAAAGGTAAGCATATCACCCAAACCAGTGGCGGCTCCTGCAAAATCTCTCAGGGGGGGCAAATGTCTGGATGATTGATAAGGATAAGGTCCACCCATGCAATGGATAAATTAACAGCTTAAGCATGTAAAGGCAACTTCACTTCTTTAATATTAATGAAAAATAAAGTGACTCTTACAATACATCTTGTTTGTTTCTATACTCACTATTAAAACAAACCACTCAAGTTTATTTTATTAAAGATTCCACTAGGTGGCCACAAATTATATTGTTGGATGAAACGTGCTTACGTATGATGACGTAAGCACGTTATTGCGAGCCCTCCCGGAAGCCATAGAGAATGCATTGCAGCGCCCCCCGGTCGAAAAAAAAACATCTTTGAATGTAAGTCTATGGGGCCACTCGGGGCGATTCTCAGCCAGAGTGAAATCGCCCAAAAAGAGGCGGTACTCCACAGAACGTGACATGATGCTGATTGGACTATATCCAGAGGCACAGTGACGGCTAGCGTGACTCTGTGGTTCAATGGCATCGGTGGTGCGTCGCCCAATCGCCCTAATAAAGAAACCGCCCCTGACCCAAACACACAAATACAACTAAACTACCCCCACCCTACCAGGCAATACCACTGTCGCCTACGCGCCTTCAACTTAGGAATAGCAGCAAAAACTACAAAAATTCTCAAATCTTTAAATCATGGCTAGCAGACCTCGGCATTAACATTGCGCTCTTCAACATATTTACACATGCAGGAACATAATTGCCAACAGTTAAATACGTCCAAATACAAACGCATATCGTGACAGAAATTAGCATTTGAAATGTATCGCTGTTAGAAGGATTACCACTGCATCTAAGCTGGACCCAAAGCGTGACCAAGCGTAGAAGTGATTTTTAAAAAAAGTTAGCGGACAGAACAGCGGATGATGCAGGCAGCGAGTGATGAGAAGGAAACGTGGGTAGGATGGACAACAGGTGACATTAAAAGGATGACGTTCGGAAAAATGGAAAGAACGGGAAAGAGAGGAAGACCTAACAGAGAATGGCTTGACGACATCATAACAGATTGGTGCCAGAAATATGTGGCCACTACATTAACATTTGGGATATCTGCCCCATGGATTGTGATGATGATACTGACGAACGCATATGGGGGGAATATCGTCACAACATTGCATGCGTACGCATGGATCTTGTTAATAATATTCATAATTAAAGTTGTGTGGCTTATATCGCGTAAATATGAATGTGTCGTTAAACCCGCGACCACCCTACATAGCCAATTAGTAAGGTTTGTCACCTAAACAAAACACGGCAATTCGTCACGAGTACAGCACTAAACCGGTGTGTTGGAGAGTAAACCCACAACATTTACAATCTGGTGTACGACGTTTCGTCGGTAATTACAACCAGCATCATCAGGCGCGACAGCCAAGATTAAAATGATTAGTTTTCCTTGGCTGTCGATAGTCTCCTCACTTGAGGGCTGCGGGAAGACGCTCCAGAAGCTTCTCTATGGCAATCCACAACTCGGACATTCGTTCTCGCTCCTCGGTCCCGACAGCCGCCTCAGCCTCCATCCTCTGCGGGCCCTGAGCTCCCTCTGCAGGCGGAGAATCCATCCGAGGGTCGGTCTCGCTTAGGCCGCAACCCTCGGCACCCTCAAAAATTAATGCGCAACTTAACGCGTACACGGAATTGACAGGATTGTTACGGTAGCAACACCTAATTTAAAATACGACGCCGATGGTGAAAACAAAAAATTACACGTCGGGTTTATTTGTAACGAATAATATTCCTCGAGGACTACCCCTCCATACGAAGTTGGTTTGAACGTTTCCCGCCTTTTCCCCCCTCCACAACCACCGCCTCCCCCCCTCACACCCCCCACAACCCCCCCCCCCACAACCACCCCCTCCCTCACAACTCCCCCCCTCCCTCACAACTCCCTCCCTCACAACTCCCCCCCTCCCGACAATCCCCCCCTCCCTCACAACTCCCCCCCCTCACAACTCCCTCCCTCACAACTCCCCCCCTCCCGACAATCCCCCCCTCCCTCACAACTCCCCCCCCTCACAACTCCCCCCCACTCACAACTCCCCCCCCCTCACAACCCCCCCCCACTCACAACTCCCCCCCCCTCACAACCCCCCCCCCACAACTCCCCCCCCTCACAACTCCCCCCCACTCACAACTCCCCCCCCCTCACAACCCCCCCCCACTCACAACTCCCCCCCCCTCACAACCCCCCCCCACAACTCCCCCCCACTCACAACTCCCCCCCCCTCACAACTCCCCCCCACTCACAACTCCCCCCCCCTCACAACCCCCCCCCACAACTCCCCCCCCTCACAACTCCCCCCCCCTCACAATCCCCCCCTCCTCACAATCCCCCCCCTCACAACTCCCCCCCCCCCGTCACAACTCCCCCCACCCCGTCACAATTCCCCCCCCTCACAATCCCCCCCCTCACAATCCCCCCCCCCTCACAATCCCCCCCTCACAATCCCCCCCCTCACAATCCCCCCCCTCACAATCCCCCCCCTCACAATTCCCCCCCCTCACATTCCCCCCCCCTCACAATTCTCCCCCACAACTCCCCCCCCACAACCCCCCCCCCCCTCACAACTTCCCCCCCACAACTCCCCCCCCACAACCCCCCCCCCACAACGCCCCCCTCCCCCCACCGAGAGACGTCGACGCCGAGGGCTGGCGACGGTTGGGCGGAAGCCGCAGCCACCGCCGGCGGCCATGTTGCTCAGGGTAAAAACCCCGTGACTCCCTTCGCGTCTACGTCATCACACTGCACCCCGCCCCCCACCGCCGCTTACAGCTACCGGGCAGCAGCTCCCTACCCAACATGGCCGACACCGATTCGGAGGGGAGGGTCCATCTCATCAGTCGAACGAGAGAGACAGAGAGATTCAGTGGAGATCATCGTGACGACGTGAACGGCCGTGATGGTGGTGGTGGTGATGGTGGGGACGATGATGTCTCGGCTGTTGTCGCGATGTGGACGTTGGCCGCTCCGTGTCCCCGCGGCTTCCCGCTTTGCCACGGCGGCGGCTGCCCGACCGAGTGACCGCCCGTGTGTGAGTTGTGGCATTGAGTTGTTGCGTTGTGCCGGTGGTGGTGGTGCTTCTAAAATGTTTTATTTTAAATACCATCCCGCCTCACACAAGTTAAAATGTGCACTTAAAGAGTTGAAGTTGTTCGAGCAAATACCGTTGCCAAAGGGTTCTTGGCGTTTGGCACGAGTGCGTAAACAAATAGCAATTCAAGATTTTTACCTGGAAATAAGGAGAGGTCCATCCCTGCTTCGAAGATCCGAATGATATTGTGCCATTAGGGTGTAATTTAGGCGAAATCATTTGTGTGTGGTGTGCGTGTACTGTGTGTGTACTGTGTGTGTACTGTGTGTGATTTGTGTACTGTTTGTGATGTGTGTTGTGTACTGTGTGTGATGTGTGTACTGTGTTTGGTGTTGGTACTGTGTGGTTTGTGTACTGTGTGGGGTTTGTGTACTGTGTGGGGTTTGTGTACTGTGTGGTTTGTGTACTGTGTGTGGTGGGTGTACTGTGTGTGGTGGGTGTACTGTGTGTGGTGGGTGTACTGTGTGTGGTGGGTGTACTGTGTGTGGTGGGTGTACTGTGTGTGGTGGGTGTACTGTGTGTGGTGGGTGTACTGTGTGGTGGGTGTACTGTGTGGTGGGTGTACTGTGTGGTGGGTGTACTGTGTGGTGGGTGTACTGTGTGTGGTGGGTGTACTGTGTGTGGTGTGTGTACTGTGTGTGGTGTGTGTACTGTGTGTGGTGTGTGTACTGTGTGTGGTGGGTGTACTGTGTGTGGTGGGTGTACTGTGTGTGGTGGGTGTACTGTGTGTGGTGGGTGTACTGTGTGTGGTGGGTGTACTGTGTGTGGTGGGTGTACTGTGTGTGGTGGGTGTACTGTGTGTGGTGGGTGTACTGTGTGTGGTGGGTGTACTGTGTGGTGGGTGTACTGTGTGTGGTGGGTGTACTGTGTGGTGGGTGTACTGTGTGGTGGGTGTAATGTGTGTGGTGCGTACTGTGTGTGGTTTGTGTACTGTGTGTGGTATGTAATGTGTGTAGTGCGTACTGTGTGTGGTGTGTGTTGGTGGTGGTGGTCAGCACGCTGCGCCACGAACCCGGAGACCTGAGTTCGATTCCCACTCACGGTCACCAACACCGATGACGATTATCTGAACCCATCCTGAGGCCTCCCTTAGGTCGACTCAGCCTCAAATGAGCACCTGGTACGGTGTGTAGTTAACATCTCCACTGGGGAGACAAAGGCGGCCGGGCGTGGTGCTGTCTATCCACCCACCCTCGTGCGCCGTGCCAGCCTTCATAGGTGCTACTCACTAACAGCACTTGCCCCAACAGTCTGTTAAGGCTCTACGGGATATCTTTGTGTGTGTGTTGTGTGTACTGTGTGTGGGGAGCGGTGACGATTATTTGAACCAGTCCTGGGCCTCCCCTAGGTCGACTCAGCCTCATATTAGTACCCGGTGCGATGCGTAAACATCGCCACTGGGGAGACAGGCGGTCGGGCGTGGTGCTGGCCACCCACCCCCTCATGCGCCCTGCTGTCCTTCATAGGTGCTACTCGCTAACAGCACTTGCCCCAACAGTCTACTGAGATCTTTGTGTGTACCGTATGTGTGTGTTCCGTGTGTGTGTGGTCTGTGTGTGACAACAGAGGGCCCTTCTACAGCCCGCCTCTCAGCCGTGCCCAGCGAGGTCGCGGCGTTTGGTCAGCGGCACGGTGGCGACGGCACCCCTGGGCGAGGCGGCGTACGAGCGGCTCGCCGACGGCACCCTCGACGCCCTGCACGACTTCTTCGATGAGCTGGGGGACGCTCCGAGCTCGCCGCGCGACTACGATGTCGCCTACGCGGCGAGTAGCGAAAGCCCACCAGAGATTTGCCCCAACAACTTTCCCTGGCCGCCGCCGTTACACTTACGCTCCGAGGGGACATTGCACTGCAATAGGAAAACGAAACGGAGATTGTAATTTATACTGTGAGACCTCCTTTACCAGTGGCAAAATATAGTAATGGGTATTTACCCTTTCAACTGGTACAAAAACTGACACCTTTTTGTTTGCATTTTGACTGCTTGTGTTGTGCTTATTGCAAACATGATGCCTTGTATAAAGGTGTCAGTTTTTGTACCAGTTGAAAGGGTAAAAACCTATTACTATTGTATTTATAATCTGTTCTTCAAATTTCGCAAGCAAATCAATAAGCAGAACAACATGTAATCAATGCGCACGATTTTGTCCTCGATCAAGCTGCTCACGTCTTCTTGCTTCTTTCGGTAAAGTCACGTAGAATGGAAATAATAAAATAATAAAAATTTAACATAAAATAATTATGTTAAATAATAAAACTAAAACATAATAAAATAGTTATTTTATTATTTTTAGTTTTTTTAACAAAAATAAAACCATAATAAAATAATTATTTTTATTATGTTTATCATTTTATTATTTCCATTCTACGTGACTTTACCGAAAGAACCAAGAAGATGAATCCCTGCAGTCACGAAAGCTTTAAATCGAAATGCTCACATCTTGGTCAAGTGGCAAGCCCCCCCACATCACCCTTTGTTTCATTGGCTAAGCGCCAATGCGCCATGATGGCCTAGGAGGTGTTGACTACCTCGCCTGGTATTCAGGAGGTCGCGGGTCCGATCCAGACCCTGACGCCTGTATTTAGGGATTCTTCTACTTACGGACGAGTTAGGTTCCAGAGTCGATTCGTTCGTAAGTCCAACTTTCCTCCTGTCGATTCCAAACACGTACGGCGTGTACACTAAACACGTGGAATGGATTTCAAAGTTGTATACTCTCCTGTAGATGTAGATGCCACCGGTTCTGCATGTGCCGCAGATGTAGATGCCACCACCGCCATCTATTGCGCGGTGGTTGAACTTACGACTCTCGGTCCGAACAGGCATCTGGACATCTCTGAAAGTTCGTGAATTCGAGTGTTCGTAAGTAGAGGAGTCTCTGTATTTGGACATTAATACGAATTTATTCAAACAATTAATGGGCGCCCAGGTTATTTCATAATTTCCTCACTGATTTTAAACAAAAATTACAAACCGTGGTCACAATATGTACGCACCTGAAACTGACGTGTTAATACTTTTGTCTTTTTCTTTCCAGGTTTGTGTGAAAAGCACATTGAATATCATTACAATTTTGTCAACGATTTGCTCAACCGTATTTAAGCGACATGTGAAATCGCTGCGAGGAGCATTTCCCCTTATTTGCACGATTCCACATTGCGACATATATTTAGTGCTGGCACTGATAGAGAGAGACCGGGTGGAGTGGTGGCACAATGGTTAGCACACTATGCTATGCCTATCATAAGTGGCGAGTGATCACTGCACCGATTCTGCCCCACCACCTCATCTTCACAAACCCCGCACTACGTGTGCACGGTCGCGAGATGTTAACTACCTCGCCTGGTATGCAGGAGGTCGTGGGTTGTATATTTGGAGTTTGCATGTCTCTTTCATCATCATCATAACGGTGGCTTGGAGATATTGACTACATCGCCTGGTATACAGGAGGTCGTGGGTTCCATCTCCGACATTGACGACACCTGTTGTATATTTACAGTTTGCTCTTCTCTCTCTCATTGTCATCACGGTGGCTAGGAGATGTTAAATACTTCGCCTGGTATACAGGAGGTTGTGGGTTCCATCCCCGACCTTGACACCTGCTGCTGTGTATTTGGAGTTTGCGTGTGTGTTTCCCCGTTTAGAATCAAAGCGCGTTTCAGAGTATTTGGCTGCTATAAATTTCCACGTGATAAGCCACTTCATTGAGATATCATTTGTGGCCAGGTCACTTCTGAAAAACGGCTATTTATTTCAGTGGGCCTTACCTGATAAAATAACAAAAACATTAAAAAAAAATTTTTGCTGTGAGGTCTCGAGCCTTTTTTTAATATAACGTCACGGGATGTTTAACGTCCACCGTGAAGCGTTATGTTTTGGTCAATCACCCGCAGTATTGAACAAGGGGGTGGCTCTTCTTGGTTCTTTCCGTAAAGTTACGTAGAAGGGAAATAATAAAATAAAATAAATAAAACATAATAAAATAAAAAATTATTATTTATTATTTCCCTTCTACGTGACTTTACCGAAAGAACCAAGAAGATGAATCCCTGCAGTCACGAAAGCTTTAAATCGAAATTTAAGGGGGTGGCTGTTGGGCTCGAACCACGGACAAACCAGCGGCACCTCCGACTCGCACGGTCGGCTACGTACGGTGCCAGAGAAGTTCAACAACCACGTGTGAAGCGGCAGATGCTGCCACCGCTCGACGAAAAAAAACGTCACTGCCTTGCATTTGAAGGACACTTTGCTAAAAGGGAATGACATCTGACGGTCGAGACTGGTGACCAAATGGCAGTCGAAAGGACAGAAAGGTTAGACGTTTTCATGACTGCAAGGATTCATACTCTTTGTTTTTTTGGTAAAGTCACGTAGGTAAAAAATTAAAGTAAATTAAATCACGACACACTTAAGCGGTTGTGCTTTCGCTAAGTTGTCCTCACCTGAATAAGGACGCTTGTGTTGCGCCCGAAACGTCGTGATTTAATTTATTTGAATTTTTTACCTACGTGACTTTACCGAAAAACCAAAGAGTCTAGGACAGAAAGGGCCCAAGGCTGCGGCCACCTCGGTGATGAATGGCAATGAGATTGGCTCGTGGGCAGGAGTGAGAGACGGATTGTGGCGTCGCAAGACCATGAAGGACGATGGCAGCCGATAGACTGATCATTTCTCTCGCAGTGGCTGTCACAGGTTGACATTCAAATCACTCGGCCACGTAATTGCCCAACCAGCCTTTTCTTTCCACCTTATCGACGCACGATAATGGGCGGTCCTGGACGAGGGCGGAAGGTGGTGGTGGTGAATATCAATGATTGTTGTAATGTTGAAAGACCTCTTGTGCTGACTCTGCGTTTTTCTTACTCTGCAGACGGGAGTGTTGACGGTAAAGCTTGGCAGGGGCCTGGGCACCTACGTGATAAACAAGCAGACGCCAAACAAGCAGTTATGGCTCTCTTCACCATTCAGGTGACCGACCTGGGGCACGCATTGAGTGTACAGCCCATGCAATTCCATGGATCGTCACGATTTGAGGTCATGATTTGATTCAAGGATTGATGCCTTTTTAGGTCAAATTTGTACTGCTTCATCTTCTTGGTTCTTTCGGTAAAGTCACGTAGAAGGGAAGTAATAAAATAATAAAAATAAAACATAATAAAATAATTCTCACGACGTTTCGGCCACAACGCAAGCAGCCGTCCTCAGGTGGAGAACAGGTCCGTCAAGTAGACAGAGTCTGAATGAAAGCTTTAAATCGAAATTTGTACTGCTTCATTTGTAATTTCTGCTGTCTTTGTTCCATTAGTTGCAACGTAACACTTCCGCATAAGTTCGTCGGTAATTTATTTATACGTACATGATTCGATACGTGTATTTTGAGCGTGCGTTTGTGTCACGTTACGAGACGATCCGTGCGGATTGTAGCAGGAGCAGCGCGACCCTTCACGTTATAGAATGGCCCATGGAGGTAGCTGTTTCAAAGGTACCTCTGAAATCCTGTCAAAATGACGTCTGATTTACACTGCAGAGGGCAAAACTTTTCCACCTGCTCTGCCACTAAGACTTAATGTCCACCGCATGATGGTCAAATCATTTTTTTTCAGTGGGAATTATTAAACATAAGTGCAGGATTATGTTTAAAAAAACATTTTTTAAAGATCGTTTTTTTTATGCAAGCGTTGGCCGGCGTTGCTGAGACCATCAATCTGGCATACCCGAGATCCCGGTCGAATCACAGGGTAGCTGCCCGGGATGAAAAGCCAGCGTCTCAACCGTGACCGCTCTGATCGCAAGAGGCACCCGTCCACCTCAAGAATCTGTTTTAATGACCATCGATGAATACATAAAATTTAGATTTAAAGCTTTCGTGACTGCAGGGATTCATCTTCTTGGTTCTTTCGGTAAAGTCACGTAGAAGGGAAATAATAAAATAATATTAATATAAAACAATAAAAATTCTCACGACGTTTAGACTGCAACACAAGCAATCATCATCAGATGTGAAATCCACAGGAAGAAAATTTTCTTGCTGTGGATTTCAGAAAATTTTCTTGCTGTGGATTTCAGAAAATTTTCTTGCTGTGGCTTTCACACCTGATGATGATTGCTTGTGTTGCAGTCAAAACGTCGTGAGAATTTTTATTGTTTTATATTTATATTATTTTATTATTTCCCTTCTACGTGACTTTACCGAAAGAACCAAGAAAGATGAATCCATTGTTTAGATGTCTAATTTATGCAGGCTTGGTCGTGTGCGTGCACCTTTAAACACGACAACGTATTTAAAAGCTGCCACTGTTTCTTAATAGAGGTTCAATTTGCAGAACTCATGTGCACGTTCAACCCAAAATGCTTGCACGGTGTTGTGGGCTTTCCAAAAAAATCTGCGCGGACTAAATTACGTTTCTCGTTTGGTGAGAAAAAAACTATTCACCACTGTTCTGCCTTCGAGAGGGGAAAATAAACCCTTTATTTAATTGTGGATACAAAGTTACAGATCTCCTACCAGATAGGATAATAAAAATAATTTCATTTTTATCGCGGCTTTTCATCAAGGATTTCAAAGTGCCGTACAGAACACAGCAGCAGCATACATTCAGCATAAACACATTTACTCAATTAACTAATAGCTGAATAAGCGTATATAAATAGGTTTTAAGATGCATTTTAAAAATGCCCACAGACTCGGAGATCCCTGCTACCTCGTGAAAGAGTGTTGCGTAGCCTGGAAGCTACACGACGGGGAAACATCTCAGTCACCCATAGACTAAAGTCTCGACCTGCCAATGCAGAGAGAATATCTGCATCATGCCCAGATCTTAGGGACCTTGAGCGGAGGGCATATGGGTGCAGCGTGTCAACGATGTAGGCTGGCGCAACTCACCAATAACTTATCATAATACTAAATGATCAAATTACGTTCTAAAACTACATTATAGCATTACACTTGGGACGCATCTACACTGAAGATTGGCCGAATTGCAGTTCTGAGAATAAAAAAAACATGATTGGATGGGTGGAAAAGTGCTTCTCTCCCCCTATTATGTGTGGACCACAGGTCACTCAAAGGCATTTCAGAAGCTAGCTCTGTGATATCCACTTACACGGGCCCTAAACATCCATATGTATCCTTCATTTCTGGACATGACGCCAATAGCACATTTGGGATACCATTGGCAACCCTCCCACCCACCCTTCCCCCATAAATGTCATGAGAAGTTGCTCACTGCCACTATCTTCGTGGGTGTGCGTGCGTTACAGCGGTCCAAAGCGCTACGACTGGACGGGCGACTGCTGGATTTACGCGCACGACGGAACGTCGCTCCACGTTCTGCTCTCGCGGGAGCTCTCCTCCATGCTCCACTCGCCCTTCGACCTCACGGCGCTGCCGTATGCCGGCGGGAAGCTCCCAGAGTGAGCCGCCACCCGCTGCCGCCACCCGCTGCCACTGTGACGTCGGCGACAAAACTACCTCGTGGCACGGCGCCACCCGCTCGTGAGACGTGGAGGCGGGAGGGGAGGCGGCGGTGGCGGCGGCGATGGTGGAACAACCGAACCTGACCGATGGCAGAGCAACTGGCACTGATGAACAAACGCCGAACATCAGATGGACATCGGATACGGGTGGCATCAAACATTGCAGTGGCCGATTACCACGTTGATAAAGCGACGTTGATTTATCGCCAATGTCGAAATGGGTACAGTGAAGTGACAAGAGCGAAGGCATTGGCCCAGGTACAAATAAGTCGTTGAAAACACCTGAGAATTAGGCTATAACAACATTGTTTTACCGAATATAGAATGGGGGGTGAATATTTAGAACGTGTCAAAAAAGTGTTTTTTTGTTATGTTTGAAGCACATTAATCAGTGCACTTGGCAGTGTATTCGTGGCCAGATGGGTCACTGAGTCACTGATCCTCAACGAGTGAGGGGCAGCTCTTGAACCAGTGGCCGCCAGGGCACTTTATTTATTTATTTATTCGCAAGTGCTGTTAATTGCCCGTGGATAATCGCGACTTCACTGTACTTTGTCGCAGTCTTCGCGCTCGCGATATCGACTGCGCGATAACGACCCCGAGCACTTGCGATATCACCTTGCGAACTGTCCCGCGTGGGCTGTCCGATGTTGGGAATTCTCGGCAAAAAATAAACCGGTGGTGTTTTTGTATATATGGCGTGTGTGCATGTCAGCCAACGGGGGGGGGGGGCGGGACACACCCAAGAAGAAAGTGCTGCCCCTTGCTGTGTGCACCAGAGGTCACTTGAATAGTTCTCAAGAAGTCGCTCGAAGAAAGCCACTTTGATCGGCACTTCCCCATCGCAGAGGGTTGCACTGCTCCGAGAGAGGAGCTCGTGGATACTTTGTCTGGAGACACATGATGCCGACGGCACGATCTGGGTGGAACTGGGCAAAGGGAAAACATTTTTTGAATAGGAACTGTGTTGATGACAAAGACTTTGTCACGGGGGGCTTTCGTGAGTCGAGGTGGGGCCTTACCATCAGCCCCACCAAAACTAAGCACCTGCCTGGGTATTTTGTACCATCGGACACTCCACCCCCACAACTCCCATTTGGTGATGGGGCAGTAGTGGAGAGAGTGGAGAGTTTCCCATACCTGGGCAGTGTGCTCATGACCGGCTCCGGTTTAACAGCAGAGAATTCACTCCGAATCAGTCGAGCGGCATTATCTTTTCATCGGTTGCGTAACGCTGTGTGGAAGCTACCTGGTCCCTCGCTCCACACGAAGCTTCAGGTCTTCTCGGCCACAGACATTCCCTCCCTTCTCTACACTTGCGAAACGTGGACCCCCCCTAATGGAACATCTTCGCCGGTTAGAAACATTTAGGCTGGCCTACCTACGATCCATCCTGGGTTCAACCAGGCTGGATTATGCGAAGAGCTCACAAATCCTTGAAAGATCTGGACAAAGTTCCATCGGTCAGCTCCTCTGGCAGGCAAGGCTGCGTTGGCTGGGCCATGTAGCCCGCATGCCCAGCTACCGCATGCCTAAAAAGCTTTTGTTCGGCCGGATCGAGGGGGCAAAACGGGTACGGCACGGGCTAGAGAAGAGATGGAGTGATGTGGTACAGGAGGATGTGGAGCTGAGTGGACTTGCCGATGACTGGTACCAGCGGTGTCAAGATCGGCCTCTGTGGAGGAGGCTCGTGAAGGACGCTACTGGGCAGTTGGAGGCAGTCGCCCTCCAACAACAACGGAGGGCAGAGGAGCGACGCTCACAACAACGAGCGGAGCGCCGGGTGGCTAAAGCACAGAAAGTTGGCACAGTAGGGGGCACAGGTGGTGCATCAGCCAGTCGTCTCAGTCGACCTGTGGCACCTGGGTCTGCCCCATGACCTGCCAGCGGGCGCTCGACACTTCACGTGGCCTCAAGGTGCACATAGCCTGGCACAAGCGTCGTGGTGACGTCACCGCCACTTAGTGGCAAATGGCAGTTGTTGTTGGTGGGCTTGTGGCGTTTGCACGTGCGTATATGCCTGGATATGTCCGATAATAATAAGAATAACAGTGATATTCATAACACCTCAAATGATGTTCGTCACGCATTCAATCTATTGCCGGATGAAGGCCACCCCATGCTGTGTCAGTCATGGGGGTTGTTTCACCATACTTCACCGCGCTGGTCAGTGTAGGTTGTGGAAGGGGGGGGGGGACGGCTCGGGCCAGTTCAGGAATCGCACGCGGCTGATGTTCGCTGGGCCGAAAATCAAACTCGGGTTTGGCAGTTCACAGTACATTGCGCTAACCACTGCGCCACCACTCCTCTACGATATTAAATACGGGTCAAGGTGCATCCCTGCATTTGCTTTCTTATGGCAGAAGTGCTGAGCTCTTGAGTGCCATTCTCGAGGGTTTTTCTGGCTTCTGCACCAGAGGTCGCAAACGGGTTTTGATTCCTTACCCGTACCCGATACCCGGCTACCCGTACCCGGCCGGGTATCGGGTAGGGTACGGGTACCCGATTGCGACCTCTGGGATGAAGCCATGTTGCAGGTGCGCGTGGGTTGATTCTAGGAACTTGAATTGTGAGAAGAGACAAGACGTTGGGAAATGAGTGACAAATAGTTACTCACTAATGACTCACGGCCTACCCGTACCCGGCCGCACCAGGGTCGCAAACGGCTACCCGTACCCGATCGGGTACGGGTAGCGGGGTATCGGGTAGGGTACGGGTATCGGGTACCCGGTTGCGACCTCTGCTCTGCACTGCCGGCCAGATGTATTGGAGGAGGTGGGAATGGCAACACTTTACCCCGCCACGCCGAGACCTGCCTACCCGCTGTGGGTGGACAGTCGGGAGGATTTAAGAAACTTTGCCAGCGCAATGAGACCTACCAGTGGCAAAATATAGTAATAGGTTTTTACCAGTGGCGGCTCCTGCAAAATCTCTCAGGGGGGGGCAAATGTCTGGATGATTGATAAGGATAAGGTCCACCCATGCAATGGATAAATTAACAGCTTAAGCATGTAAAGGCAACTTCACTTCTTTAATATTAATGAAAAATAAAGTGACTCTTACAATACATCTTGTTTGTTTCTATACTATTAAAACAAACCACTCAAGTTTATTTTATTAAAGATTCCACTAGATTTTGATTTAAAACTTTCGTGACTGCAGGGATTCATCTTCTTGGTTCTTTCGGTAAAGTCACGTAGAAGGGAAGTAATAAAATAATAAAAATAAAACATAATAAAATTATTCTCACGACGTTTCGGCCACAACGCAAGCAGCCGTCCTCAGGTGAAAACCAGGTCCGTCGAGGCGACAGAGTCTGAATGAAACAGCACACGAGCTTGGAGCATATATATAAGCTGGGCGCCTTGACAAAGGAATTTGCATATCAAGAGGAATTTAGCATATTTATGGGAAATGCAGGAATGTGATTAGTACTGCATATGCATGTGCATTATGCAGGATTAACAGCATCAAAGGGAGCTGCAGTTGCTGCTGCTGCTGCAGTTGCTGCTGCTGCTGCAGTTGCTGCTGCTGCAGTTGCTGCTGCTGCTGCAGTTGCTGCCTTATCCATTTTAATATAACACTATGTATTATTCTACCCACCCTAATGTGTATCACACTGCTATATATTTACTATACAATTACGACACCATACATTACTCTGCACACTGCACCATGCCAGTGAGTGGAACGTTGTGGCCGAAACGTCGTGAGAATAACTTGCGTTGTGGCCGAAACGTCGTGAGAATAATTTTATTATGTTTTATTTTTATTATTTTATTACTTCCCTTCTACGTGACTTTACCGAAAGAACCAAGAAGAAGATTCCACTAGGTGGCGATAAATTATATTGTTGGATGAAACGTGCTTACGTATGATGACGTTAGCACGTATGATGACGTAAGCACGTTAGGGCTTGCCCTCCCGGAAGCCATAGAGAATGCATTGGAGCGCCCGCCGTTCGAAAAAAAACATCTTTGAATGTAAGTCTATGGGGCCACTCGGGGCGATTCTCAGCCGGAGTGAAATCGCCCAAAAAGAGGCGGTACTCCACAGAACGTGACATGACGCTGATTGGACTATATCCAGAGGCTGCAGTGACGGCTAGCGTGACTCTGTGGTTGAATGACATTGGTGGTGCGTCGCCCAATCGCCCTAATGAAGAAACCGCCCCTGGTTTTTACCCTTTCAACTGGTACAAAACTGACACCTTTATACAAGGGATCATGTTTGCAATAACCACAACAAGCAGTCAAAATGCAAACAAAAAGAAACAACTTTGATAATGGTAATGATATGCACTGTCCTTGAAGTTGATTGGTCCACACCCGAGACAGCTTTCCTTAGAGCCTAGTCTCCTATTACTATATTTTGCCACTGGTAAAGGGGGTCTCATAGTGTAAATGCTTCACCCCGAGCTCTCAATACTCTGATAGTGTGCTGTCTTTGAGTTGTACGCCTTTTGGCGTCATCTGGTCCAACACCATATGAGACTAGGCTCTAAGGAAAGCTGTCTCGGGTGTGGACCAATCAACTTCAAGGACAGTGCATATCATTATCAGAGTTGTTTTCTTTTTGTTTGCATTTTGGCTGCTTGTGTTGTGGTTATTGCAAACATGATCCCTTGTATAAAGACGTCAGTTTTGTACCAGTTGAAAGGGTAAAAACCTATTACTATATTTGCCCGCGCTGAATTCAGCCGGTGACCCCCCCCCCTGAGCTCCGGTGTGGTAACCGTGCTAGCACATCTGCATCATTACGTGTGCTACACGTGCCGAAGAAAACGGCACGTGATCTATTACTTAACAAGCAGAACACCCAACAGGTGGCGTTGGGTGCTCTGCTTGTTACGTAATTTTATTTAAAACACAAACAGAATGAGTTGATGGAAATTTTACATTGGGAAAGAGGCTGTGGTTTTGATTTGTGTGTTTTTTTCTTTTTGTTGTTGAGTTCAGGATTCACAGCAATAAAATTGCTTTTCTGGCCAGTCGCAAAGTAAAAGGCGCTCTATAGATACAGAAATATATAAGATTAGATTCGATTTGCATTTACGTCTCTTAAATCAAAAGCACCCGATTTCAAATCTCGTCTGAATCGCCACATCTCATTTCTAATCGCTCGATATGCTCCAGCAGGCGTCAGGGTTGGGATCGAATCCACGACCTCCTGCATACCAGGCGAGGTATTTAACATCTCCTAGCCACCGTGATGACAATGAGAGAGAGACACGCAGACTCCATCTATACAGCAGGTGTCAAGGTCGGGGATGGAACCCACGACCGCCTGTATACCAGGCGAGGTAGTTAACATCTCCTAGCCACCGTGATGACAATGAGAGAGAGACACGCAGACTCCATCTATACAGCAGGTGTCAAGGTCGGGGATGGAACCCACGACCGCCTGTATACCAGGCGAGGTAGTTAACATCTCCTAGCCACCGTGATGACAATGAGAGAGAGACACGCAGACTCCATCTATACAGCAGGTGTCAAGGTCGGGGATGGAACCCACGACCGCCTGTATACCAGGCGAGGTAGTTAACATCTCCTAGCCACCGTGATGACAATGAGAGAGAGACACGCAGACTCCATCTATACAGCAGGTGTCAAGGTCGGGGATGGAACCCACGACCACCTGTATACCAGGCGAGGTAGTTAACATCTCCTAGCCACCGTGATAACAATGAGAGAGAGACGAGAAAACTGTAAATATACAACAGGTGTCGTCAAGGTCGGGGATGGAACCCACGACCTCCTGTACACCAGGCTAGGTAGTCAATATCTCCAAGCCACCGTGATGAGGATGATGAAAGAGACATGCAAACTCCAAATATACAACCCACGACCTCCTGCATACCAGGCGAGGTAGTCAATATCTCCAAGCCACCGTGATGATGATGTTGAAAGAGACGTTCAAACTCCAAATATACAACCCACGACCTCCTGTAGACCAGGCGAGGTAGTCAATATATCCAAGCCACCATTATGATGATGATGAAAGAGACATGCAAACTCCAAATATACAACCCACGACCTCCTGCAGACCAGGCGAGGTAGTCAATATCTCCAAGCCACCGTTATGATGATGATGAAAGAGACATGCAAACTCCAAATATACAACCCACGACCTCCTGCAGACCAGGCGAGGTAGTCAATATATCCAAGCCACCGTGATGATGATGATGAAAGAGACATGCAAACTCCAAATATACAACCCACGACCTCCTGCAGACCAGGCGAGGTAGTTAACATTTCGCGACCGTGGCACACGTAGTGCGGGGTTTGTGAAGTGGTGGGGCAGAATCGGTGCAGTTATCACTCGCCACTTATGATAGGCATAGCATAGTGTGCTAACCATTGCGCCACCACTCCACCCGGTCTCTCTATCAGTGCCAAGCACTGAATAGATGTCGCAATGTGGATTCGTGCAAATAAGGGGAAATGCTCCTCGCAACGATTTCACACGTCGCTTAAATACTTTTGAGCAAATCGTTGACAAAATGGTCATTTGTATAAAATGTATACTCTTTGGTTCTTTCGGTAAAGTCACGTAGATAAAAAAGTAATACATTTTAGAAAAATGCATTAATTTTCTTTCTACGTGTGGATTCCTGCAGTCACGAAAGCTTCAAATGAAGATGATTTAAAATTAGCTTTTCACACAAACATGGAAAGAAAAATCAGAAAAAGCATTAACACGTTAGTGTTGTGGTGAGTACAGATTGCGAGCACGGTTTGTATTTATTTATTTTATCTAAAATCTGTAAGGTAAGGAAATCGAGAAATAACCCGGGCGCTGATCGCTGTTCCAATAAATTCGTATTTAATTTCTAGCCCTTTGGATAAAGTTCCCAACATCATCTCAGTCACGTTTCAGTTATCGCTGGCTATTGCAATTAGCCATGGCTGTCTGCACATTAGAGCGCCAATGGAATTAATTACATTTATAATACGTATTTCTATAATTTCAATCATTTTATTATTTATTTTTATTATTTATTTTTACCTATGCGTGACTTTACCGAAAGAACCTAAGAGTATGAATCCTTGCAGTCACGAAAGCTTCAAATCTAGAATTACATTTATAATTTCGATTTAAGTGAAAAAACGTGAGAATTGTATTTTATTATGTTTTATTTTTATTATTTTATTATTTCCCTTCTACGTGACTTTACCGAAAGATTTCGATTTAAAGCTTTCGTGACTGCAGGGATTCATCTTCTTGGTTCTTTTGGTAAAGTCACGTAGAAGGGAAATAATAAAAAAATAAAAATAAAACATAATTAAATAATTCTCACGACGTTTCGGCCACAACCGAAAGAACCAAGAAGATACATTTATAATGTTTTATTCACCTCTGTCATGGTCGCCTTATTTCAAAATGAATTTTCCCCGAAATACCATTTTGTCATTAATCAATATTGCGGGCGGCGTGAGCATACTTTGTCATCTGGGAAAGGAAGAATGACAAGTAACATGCAACAACAAAACACAACAACGCGTTGAGGAAGTCGCGCACGCACAAACATCCCCCCCTGTACAGGACAAAGAGTGGGGGGGCGATGTGGAGGAGTGGGGGGCGATGTGGAGGAGTGGGGGGCGATGAGGAGGAGTGGGGGGCGATGTGGAGGAGTGGGGGGCGATGAGGAGGAGTGGGGGGCGATGTGGAGGAGTGGGGGGCGATGTGGAGGAGGCTCGTGAAGAGTGGGGGGCGATGTGGGGGAGTGGGGGGCGATGTGGAGGAGTGGGGGGCGATGTGGAGGAGGCTCGTGAAGAGTGGGGGGCGATGTGGAGGAGTGGGGGGCGATGTGGAGGAGTGGGGGGCGATGTGGGGGAGTGGGGGGCGATGTGGAGGAGTGGGGGGCGATGTGGAGGAGTGGGGGGCGATGTGGGGGAGGCTCGTGGAGAGTGGGGGGCGATGTGGAGGAGTGGGGGGCGATGTGGAGGAGGCTCATGAAGAGTGGGGGCGATGTGGGGGAGTGGGGGGCGAGGACGAGGAGGCTCATGAAGAGTGGGGGGCGATGTGGAGGAGTGGGGGGCGATGTGGAGGAGTGGGGGGCGATGTGGAGGAGTGGGGGGCGATGTGGGGGAGGGGGGGGCGATGTGGGGGAGTGGGGGGCGATGTGGAGGAGTGGGGGGCGATGTGGAGGAGTGGGGGGCGATGTGGGGGAGTGGGGGGCGATGTGGGGGAAGCTCGTGGAGAGTGGGGGGCGTTGTGGAGGAGTGGGGGGCGATGTGGAGGAGGCTCATGAAGAGTGGGGGCGATGTGGGGGAGTGGGGGGCGAGGACGAGGAGGCTCATGAAGAGTGGGGGGCGATGTGGAGGAGTGGGGGGCGATGTGGGGGAGTGGGGGGCGATGTGGGGGAAGCTCGTGGAGAGTGGGGGGCGTTGTGGAGGAGTGGGGGGCGATGTGGAGGAGGCTCATGAAGAGTGGGGGCGATGTGGGGGAGTGGGGGGCGAGGACGAGGAGGCTCATGAAGAGTGGGGGGCGATGTGGAGGAGTGGGGGGCGATGTGGAGGAGTGGGGGGCGATGTGGGGGAGTGGGGGGCGATGTGGGGGAAGCTCGTGGAGAGTGGGGGGCGATGTGGAGGAGGTTTGTGAAGAGTGGGGGGCGATGTGGAAGAGTGGGGGGCGATGCGGAGGAGGCTCGTGAAAAGTGGGGGGCGATGTGGAAAAGTGGGGGGCGATGTGGAGGCTCCACGCGCCGTCGACTTGCCCGCCTTGCACCCCCCCCCCCCCCCTCAGCAAGCTGCGTGAATGCGTTGCCTTTCCACAAGTTCCCTTTTTTTCTCGTTGAAGAAACTCACCGAGAGATTAACAGGGCGGATGTCACGGTTGTTTTTTTTTCTCCTTCTCCTTGCCCGCGAGCTGACCAAGCAAGGCGTCTGTGGTTTTTTTTTTTTTGGGGGGGGGGGGGGTCGCTGTTGCTTTTGCGGCGTGCAAGAAAAGTTTCTCAACGCGCGCGTACGAAGAAGCCACGATTCGTCAAATCGCGTGCGACGTCTGCCAAACGCCTCCTCCTCCTCCGCCACCGCCGCTCTTATAAAGCGAGTCGGTGCCCCGCTTCGCCTGCTGAGGCTTCCAAGCACTTGTTGGGCATTCGCACGATCAAAGTAAGTATATTTGTGTGTCTCGATTTAAAGTTTCGTGACTGCAGGGATTCATCTTGTTGGTCATTCAGACTCTGCCTTCTCGACAGACCTGTTCTCCACCTGAAGACGGCTGGTTGCGTTGTGGCCGAAACGTCGTGAGAATTTTATTTTATTATGTTTTATTTTTATTGTTTTTATTATTTTCCTTCTACGTGACTTTACCGAAAGAACCAAGAAGATTAATCTAAGTTGTCTTGGTTCGTTCGGTAAAGTCACGTAGAAGGGAAGTAATAAAATAATACAACAATACAATTAAATTCTCACGACGGAAAGACAGCGTCTTTCCAACAGCCCTGTTCTTCACCTGAGGACGGCTGCTTGCGTTGTGGCCGAAACGTCTTGAGAATTATTTTATTCAGTTTTATTTTTATTATTTTATTATTTTCCTTCTACGTGACTTTACCGAAAGAACCAAGAAGATATGTGTGTGTCCTTTGTGGCACCCCAGCCCCCCAGCCCCCCAGCCCCCCTCTTTTATCTGAATTAAGAAGGCGGTGGTGGATCCGTGGTGGCTCTGTGGTGGTGGGACTTGAGGCACGAGCAAACCGAGACAATTCTTTAGCTTCAACAAATTAATGATTTTTAAAAATCTGAGAGTTCATCAACTTCTTGGTTCTTTCGGTAAAGTCACGTAGAAGGGAAATAATAAAATAATTAACATTTTTTTACAATAAAATTCTCACGACGTTTTTTGTTTGCATTTTGACCACAAGTATTGTGGTTAATGCATACACGATTCCTTTTAAAAAAAGGTTTCAGTTTTGTTGCCAGAAAAAAAGGGAAAAAACCCGATTATTATATTTTGGTCCTGGCAAAGAAGGTCTAATGATGTCGATCTCCGTCTTTGTCAGCATCTCTCACCTCCCTCCACCTCTCTTGATGTCTACATTTCTCTTATCTCGCTACATCTCTGATGATGATGTCTACATCCCTTCTGTCACGAGATTTATTTTATATTAATTGAAAGGGGGATGCCTCTAAAATCGTTGCCTACTCAGTGCCTCCCCCCCGCCAATGTGCCAGCATCAATCACCACCAGTGGCGGATGATCGTAGTAGCAAAGGTAGCAAATGCTTTCAAGCCACCAATTCCGGTTCAGTGATTCGGCACTTGCTCTATTACTATAGTACTATACTGCCTTCAACTTTTACGAACCACTGGGTTTCGATTTAAAGCTTTCGTGACTGCAGGGATTCATCTTCTTGGTTCTTTCGGTAAAGTCACGTAGAAGGGAAATAATAACGTAAAAAAAAATAAGTTGTGAGAATTGTATTTTATAATGTTTTCTTTTTATTATTTTATTATTTCCCTTCTACGTGACTTTACCGAAACAACCAAGAAGATGAACCACTGGGTGTTTAGGGTTAGCGATTTGTCGTATTATCTGGCTGTATAGCAAATGATAAAATACAATTACTTTATTATGCAAGTAAAAATGTTGTGTTTTAATATTGATGTAATTTTTTGTATTTGGGGCCCCGTTATAACGAATGCTACAGGCCCCGCACTATCTTCATCCGGCACTTACCACCACCACCACCAAGCTGCCAAGTTGAGCGAGTTGATGTTCTCCGCCCCATTCGCCAGTCACCGCTTGAGAAAAAAACAAACTCATAACAACAACAACAAATCCCATTAAGTTTAGTTTTTTCTGCCCCCCGCATAAATGTGGCTAAAAATTCCAGCTCTGCAGAAATATTTGTGTGTGTGCGTGCCCATGGGCATGAACATTTCGGTCCAACGGGACGCCACAAAGTGCCCCTTCTCCACAACTCGAGATCCTCCTCTGCCTCTACGAAGCGATGCAACATCGAAACAACTTTGTAAACGCTTCTGAACGACCGCCTCCTCTCGACATCAAACGAATACGCTCGCCTCGTCGTTCGCGGCACCGTTGTCAAATCGACAGAGGTGTGGACTCGAGTCATGTGACTTGGACTCGAGTCAGACTCGAGTCATGAATTTGATGACTTCAGACTCGACTTGGACTTGCATAACAATGACTTTGTCCCACCTCTGAGGTGTGGACTCGAGTCATGTGACTTGGACTCGAGTCAGACTCGAGTCATGAATTTGATGACTTCAGACTCGACTTGGACTTGCATAACAATGACTTTGTCCCACCTCTGAGGTGTGGACTCGAGTCATGTGACTTGGACTCGAGTCAGACTCGAGTCATGAATTTGATGACTTCAGACTCGACTTGGACTTGCATAACAATGACTTTGTCCCACCTCTGCAAATCGAACTCTAAATGGTGCACCCCTCCCCCTCGCCACTACCTCCTGTACCGCATGCTCGATGGCGGTGCTCGTTTGACCATACTTCACCACGGAGATGGCACCGCTGACCGTGGCTGCCCTGCTGCTCGGGACCATCCTCATCGCCGCCGCTACGGACCCGGCGCTCGATCCGCACTGGGGCGCCTGGCAGGACTTGCACGGCAAGAGCTACGAGCAGGCAAGGCTGTGCTGCTGCTGGGGGTGTCGTCTTGCGTGACGGCAATACACACGGAGGGGGCAGGTGGGGGGGGGGGGGCATGGGGAGGGGGGCAGGGAGGGGGGAGCCACCTGGGCTCACTGCGCCCGTGTAAAATTATCACGTGAGTTTTTTTCTGGGGGGCAGGGGGGTTGGGGGGGGGGCACCTGGGTTCACTCTGCCCGTGTAAAATCTTCGCGTGAGTTTTTTTTTCTAGGGGGGCAGGGGGGTTAGGGGGGGCACCTGGGTTCACTGCGCCCGTGTAAAATTATCACGTGAGTTTTTTTTTCTGGGGGGGCAGGAGGGTTAGGGGGGGGCACCTGGGCTCACTGTGCCCGTGTAAAATCTTCGCGTGAATTTTTTTTTCTGGGGGGGCAGGGGGGTTAGGGGGGGCACCTGGGCTCACTGTGCCCGTGTAAAATTATCGCGTGAGTTTTTTTCTGGGGGGGGGGGGGCAGCTTAAATAGACGCTCCAAGCGCAGGACGTGTCATTCAGACTCTGTCTTATCAACAGACCTGTTCTTCACCTGAGGACGGCTGCTTGCGTTGTGGCCGAAACGTCGTGAGAATTATTTTATTATGTTTTATTTTTATTATTTTATTATTTCCATTCTACGCGACTTTACCGAAAGAACCAAGAAGATGAATCCCTGCAGTCACGAAAGCTTTAAATCGAAATTATATAATGTTTTATTTTTATTATTTTATTATTTCCATTCTACGCGACTTTACCGAAAGAACCAAGAAGATGAATCCCTGCAGTCACGAAAGAAGCTTTAAATCGAGCGTAGCGATGCTGAACTGCGTCTCCGCCCTCGTCTCCCCCTCGTGATGCGCAGGCAGAGGAGGGCCGGCGTCGCCTCGTGTGGGAGCACAACCTAAAGATGATCGACCGGCACAACCTGGAGGAGGCCCTCGGCAAGCACTCCTACACGCTGGCCATGAACCATTTCGGGGACATGGTACGTGCGGCCGCATCCCCGATGCTGTATAGAGTATGCGGTTGTTATACCATGGGTGAAAAAAACCCGATTTTTCCAGCGGCAGGCATCGGGTTGTTTTCTTTAATACAATTAAACGCGATTTCGGGGAATTAAAACCTGGTTCAATGAATACGAAACTCTGATCCAAGACTTAGGCTGCTTCCTCGTCGGTGCTGCTATCGTACTCGGGGGGCCGTCGGGCACGGGGTAGTCGTAGAATGCGGCGGGCAGGTTGGTCTTGATGAACACGAGCTTCTCCTCCACAATCGTGGGCAGCCGCCAGTGAGTTCCTGAGCTTGGAATGGATGAAGCCCATCGTCGAGAAGTGCGAAGTGCGGTTCTGCAATTAGAACCAATTAAACCGGATTTCTCCCAATCTCAGATGATCGGGTTTAATATAAAAAGACAATTAAACCCGATTGTAAAAAAACCCGACTGTGCCACCCTTGTGTTATACTGGTAGGAACCACCTGGTTCCACCAGCCCACAGGGGATTATTGTGTCCGTCCGTCGTGCATCCAAAAATGGGAGGGGTGGGGCTGGGTGGAGAGGGGAGGGTGGGGCGGGGCTGGGTGGGGAGGGTGGGGAGGGGCTGGGTGGGGAGGGTGGGGCTGGGTGGGGGGTGGGAGGGGTGGGGCTGGGTGGGGAGGGGCTGGTCACCCCGTAGTGCCCTTATAAAACTCAACGTTTAACCTACTCACGCCGGCTTGTGCCCGCCCTCACAGTCGGGCATATTTGCGGAATACACCACGCCGCCGTTGACCCTGGCCATTGACCGAGCAATCCGACGTTCCTACCAGCTCCCTCCGCAGGAATGTGTTCGTCTGATACGTCTGCACGGCACGTCATCTCGGTGGTGGGCAGGGTGGCGGGGTACGTTTAAATGTGCTTCAAGCGCGCCTGTCGATGCGAGGTTTGGCGAAGGGAATGCCCAGGACGGGTTCAGACTTGAGCAGAGACCAAACAGACTTCACGAGACGTACGGATGTGGACAGACGTACACACCAGCGAGGATCGAACTCGGGTCGCCGCTTTCGTAGCGGAGCGCTAACTGCTACGCTACCGCTCCCCACGCACAAATATCAAAAGATCCTCCCCTATGGCCTTTAACAGACTGTTGGGGCAAGTGCTGTTAGCGAGCACCTATTGAAGGCCTGGCAAGACACACGAAGGAAGTGGGTGGCCAGCACCACGCCCGGCCGCCTTTGTCTCCCTAGTGGCGATGTTTGCACACCGCACCAGGTACTAATTTGAGGCCGAGTCGACCTAGGGGAAGAGGCCCAGGACCGGTTCAGATAATCGTCACTGGCGTTTTGTGACCGTGGGTTCGTAGCGCAGCGTAGCGCTAACCGCTTACACTACCGCTCCTCACGCATTCACATTTTCCCACACCCACCCACACACATGTCCGTGTGCGCACACACCTACACACATATACGCAAACACTCACTCCAAGCGCGAGGCCGACTCACTACAGCCACGCGGAGGATCGCTCCTCCGAACAAAATCGTTTCGCGGTTCAGTTTTGCAATTGCGAGTTCGCGTCTTAAAGACAATGTAAAAAACAAAATTAATGGCAGCTGTTTCGTAAGCACGAGTGTGCGTAAGTTGGGGAGTTCGTAAGTCTGGGCGTTCGTAGGTCCGGGTGTTCGTAAGTCGAGGATCGCATTCACTCACACCGAGTCACTCATCGGCTCGTGTAGCGCGCCCCCTGGTGGAGGTCTCTGTGTTGCAGCGGTCGTGAGCGAACATCTGCAGAACTGCAACCACCATTCGTCTATTTTTCAGACTTTATCTCGAGCCATATTATAAGTGTAGTGAACGACTTCCGACACACGTTTAGTAGAAGGCTTCTTATTTATTAGGAGCACGCAGGGCCATTACACTTCGTGACGCGGCTACACCCTCGGGCCTAGGCTGTCCAGGGGTCCCCCCCCCCAGAAAAAAAAAAAAAATCTAAATTTGAAAACGAATTTCCTGCCGAAAATATAAAAAAAATCACTAACATATAGGAAGGAGATTTAATTTATTTTTTACAATAATGTCTAATAGTTTATTGTATTACATTGCTCTGTTTTTTCCTTTTTACCCTTTCTTGTTTTCATTGTATGTAATGGACAGAGATTAGGGATTCATAAAGTACAACCATAACCACAATCATATAAACAGAAATCTATTTTATAGCAATATATTGGGGGGGGGGGGGGACATTTTGAGCATATTTGACCCCACTCTAACAGCCCCGAAGCTCTGGTTCGGTGCTCCTTATATCTGCCTGGCCCGGCCAAGCTCCACCTCTGGTCACGCCCCCTTTCCAGAACCTTCAGGTTGGTTCCCGGAGCTTCTCGACTGACTCCGCCCTCGACCTTTACCCCAGACACGCCCCTTCATAATAAGGCATTATGTGATGCAGCTACAACCGTAATTACCTCTACAGGCCGCCAGGTGTCACCCTGTCATTACACAATTATATGTAAAACCAAAGATTTTCACAGAGACCCATACACTTTATATACAGAGAACCATGAGCACAGAGACCCACGGATTAAAACAAATATTCAGCAAATGTCATCTTCTTGGTTCTTTCGGTAAAGTCACGTAAAATGGAAATAATAAAATAATAAACATAAAACATTATAAAATCATTCTCACGACGTTTCGGCCACAACGCAAGCAGCCGTCCTCAGGTGTAGAACATGTCTGTCGAGAAGACAGAGTCTGACTCTGAGGACAGCTGCATGCGTTGTGGCCGAAACGTTGTGAGAATTATTTTATTGTGTTTTATTTTTATTATTTTATTATGTCCATTCTACGAAAGAACCAAGAAGATGAATCCCTGCAGTCACGAAAGCTTTAAATCGAAATTCAGCAAATGCTTTTAAATAAATATAAGCTTTATATCAGACACTGAGACTCACATAGTTGCATTGTGACGTTTATTGGGATTCGTGTAAGCATGCCAACACGCTCTGATGATGCCTCCTTATTTCATAATTATTATTCTTACTGCAGTCCACCTTCAATATCTGTAGGTACTTCACTGTGGATAGTGGTGATGAACACGGTGATGAGACTCACATGGAGTGAACACGATGATGAGACTCACATAGAGTAACAAAGATGTAGATGCCACTGGTTCTTCACGTTCTGCAGATGTAGATGCCACAGGTTCTTCACGTTCTGCAGATGTAGATGCCACTGGTTCTTCACGTTCTGCAGATGTAGATGCCACTGGTTTTTCACGTTCTTCAGATGTAGATGCCACTGGTTCTTCATGTTCTGTAGATGTAGATGCCACAGGTTCTTCACGTTCTGCAGATGTAGATGCCACTCGTTCTTCACGTTCTGCAGATGTAGATACCACTGGTTCTTCACATTCTGTAGATGTAGATGCCACAGGTTCTTCACGTTCTGCAGATGTAGATGCCACTGGTTCTTCACGTTCTGTAGATGTAGATGCCACAGGTTCTTCACATTCTGCAGATGTAGATGCCACTGGTTCTTCACGTTCTGCAGATGTAGATGCCACTGGTTCTTCACGTTCGGCAGATGTAGATGCCACTGGTTCTTCACGTTCTGCAGATGTAGATGCCACTGGTTCTTCACGTTCTGCAGATGTAGATGCCACTGGTTCTTCACGTTCGGCAGATGTAGATGCCACTGGTTCTTCACGTTCTGCAGATGTAGATGCCACTGGTTCTTCACGTTCTGCAGATGTAGATGCCACTGGTTCTTCACGTTCTGTAGATGTAGATGCCACAGGTTCTTCACGTTCTGCAGATGCAGATGCCACTGATTCTTCACGTTCTGCAGATGTAGATACCACTGGTTCTTCACGTTCTGTAGATGTAGATGTCACTGGTTCTTCACGTTCTGCAGATGTAGATGCCACTGGTTCCACACGTTCTGTAGATGTAGATGCCACTGGTTCTTCATGTTCTGTAGATGCCACTGGTTCTTCATGTTCTGTAGATGTAGATGCCACTGGTTCTTCACGTCCTGCAGATGTAGATGCCACTGGTTCTTCAAATTCTGCAGATGTAGATGCCACTGGTTATTCATGTTCTGCAGATGTAGATGCCACTGGTTCTTCACGTTTTGCAGATGTAGATGCCACTGGTTCTTCACGTTCTGCAGATGTAGATGTCACTGGTTCTTCATGTTCTGCAGATGTAGATGCCACTGGTTCTTCGCGTTCTGCAGATGTAGGTACCACTGGTTCTTCACGTTCTGCAGATGTAGTTGCCACTGGTTCTTCACGTTCTGCAGATGTAGATGCCACTGGTTCTTCATGTTCTGCAGATGTAGATGCCACTGGTTCTTCACGTTCTGCAGATGTAGATGTCACTGGTTCTTCACGTTCTGCAGATGTAGATGCCACTGGTTCCTCACGTTCTGTAGATGCCACAGGTTCTTTACGTTCTGCAGATGTAGATGCCACAGGTTCTTCACGTTCTGCAGATGTAGATGCCACAGGTTCTTCACGTTCTGCAGATGTAAATACCACTGGTTCTTCACGTTCTGCAGAAGTAGATGCCACCGCCACCATCTATTGCGCGCCAGTCGAACTCACGACTCTCGGTCTGAACGGCCAACTGGACAGGTTTGTTCGTATCTCTGAAAGTTCGTAAGTCGAATGTTCGTAAGTAGAGGAGTCCCCGTACTATCAACCGCCCCCCCCCCCCACCACCGTTGCAGACGGAGGAGGAGTTTGTGCAAACGATGACGCGGCCCATGCTCGTGAACGAGACGGAGGTCGCGGCGGAGTTCGTGACCTTCGAGCCGCCCCCAAACTTCACGGCGCCCAGCAGCGTGGACTGGCGCAAGACGGGCGCCGTCACGCACGTCAAAAACCAGGTGCCCTTGCGACGGCGCCGGTGCCGTTACCGTTGCCAGCGCCGGCACTGGTACCGTTACCGTTGCCAGCGCCGGCACTGGTGCCGTTACCGTTGCCAGCGCCGGCACTGGTACCGTTACCATTGCCAGCGCCGGCACTGGTGCCGTTACCGTTGCCAGCGCCGGCACTGGTACCGTTACCATTGCCAGCGCCGGCACTGGTGCCGTTACCGTTGCCAGCGCCGGCACTGGTGCCGTTACCATTGCCAGCGCCGGCACTGGTGCCGTTACCGTTGCCAGCGCCGGCACTGGTGCCGTTACCATTGCCAGCGCCGGCACTGGTACCGTTACCATTGCCAGCGCCGGCACTGGTGCCGTTACCGTTGCCAGCGCCGGTGCCGTTGACAGTGCCGTTACCATTGCCAGCGCCGGCACTGGTACCGTTACCGTTGCCAGCGCCGGTGACGGTGCCGTTGTCGGTGCCGGTGCCACCGCGGATTTGTCCGTCTTGTTGTTTTTGTCCGCCGTGACATGCGAGCGACGGTGATTTCCTCGGAGGCATCGTTTGGTGCTCATCTCCCGTCGAAACAAAGCCCCCCACACTGAGCCGAGAGAGGGAACGTCACGTTCCTACGGGAACGCCCTACGGGAACATCACGTTCCTACGGGAACATCACGTTCCTACAGGAACGTCCTACAGGAACGTCACGTTCCTACGGGAACGTCACATTCCTACGGGAACACCCTACGGGAACGTCACGTTCCTACGGGAACGTCACGTTCCTACGGGAACGCCCTACGGGAACGTCACGTTCCTACGGGAACTTCACATTCCTACAGGAACGTCCTACGGGAACGTCACATTCCTATGGGAACGTCACATTCCTACGGGAACGTCATGTACCTACGGGAACGTCCTACGGGAACGTAACATTCCTAGGAACGTGACGTTCCTACGGGAACGCCACGTTCCTATGGGAACGTCCTACGGGGACGTCACGTTCCTACGGGAACGTGACGTTCCTACGGGAACGTCCTACGGGGACGTCACGTTCCTACGGGAACGTAACGTTCCTACGGGAATGTGACGTTCCTACGGGAACGTCCTACGGGGACGTCACGTTCCTACGGGAATGTCACGCTCCTACGGGAACGGCTGGGTGACCGCGCGCTCCGTGCCGCTGCGTGCAGGGCAGCTGCGGCTCGTGCTGGGCCTTCAGCTCCACGGGCGCCCTGGAGGGGCAGTGGAAGATCCGCAGGGGCCCCCTCGTGTCGCTCAGCGAGCAGAACCTCGTCGACTGCGCCCGCGTCGGCAACTACGGCTGCCGCGGGGGGTTCATGATCAACGCCTTCAAGTACATCCACCAGAACCGCGGCATCGCGTACGAGCGCAGCTACCCCTACATAGGGCAGGTGAGTGTCTGCTGGGGTGAGTGTCTGCTGGGGTGAGTGTCCGAGAGGGTGAGTGTCTGCTGGGGTGAGTGTCTGAGAGGGTGAGTGTCTGAGAGGGTGAGTGTCTGAGAGGCTGAGTGTCTGAGTGTCTGAGAGGGTGAGTGTCTGCTAGGGTGAGTGTCTGAGAGGGTGAGTGTCTGCTAGGGTGAGTGTCTGAGAGGGTAAGTGTCTGAGAGGGTGAGTGTCTGAGAGGGTGAGTGTCTGAGAGGGTGAGTGTCTGAGAGGGTGAGTGTCTGAGAGGGTGAGTGTCTGAGAGGGTGAGTGTCTGAGAGGGTGAGTGTCTGAGAGGGTGAGTGTCTGAGTGTCCGAGAGGGTGAGTGTCTGCTGGGGTGAGTGTCCGAGAGGGTGAGTGTCTGAGAGGGTGAGTGTCTGAGAGGGTGAGTGTCTGAGAGGGTGAGTGTCCGAGAGGGTGAGTGTCTGAGAGGGTGAGTATCTAAAAGGGTGAGTGTCTGAGAGGGTGAGTGTCTGAGAGGGTGAGTGTCTGCTGGGGTGAGTGTCTGAGAGGGTGAGTGTCTGAGAGGGTGAGTGTTTGAGAGGGTGAGTGTCTGAGAGGGTGAGTGTCTGAGAGGGTGAGTGTCTGAGAGGGTGAGTGTCTGAGAGGGTGAGTGTCCGAGAGGGTGAGTGTCTGAGAGGGTGAGTATCTAAAAGGGTGAGTGTCTGAGAGGGTGAGTGTCTGTTAGGGTGAGTGACTGAGAGGGTGAGTGTCTGCGAGGGTGAGTGTCTGAGAGGGTGAGTGTCTGCTAGGGTGAGTGTCTGAGAGGGTGAGTGTCTGAGAGGGTGAGTATCTAAAAGGGTGAGTGTCTGAGAGGGTGAGTGTCTGAGAGGGTGAGTGTCTGAGAGGGTGAGTGTCTGAGTGTCTGAGAGGGTGAGTGTCTGAGAGGATGAGTGTCTGCTGGGGTGAGTGTCCGAGAGGGTCAGTGTCCGAGAGGGTGAGTGTCCGAGAGGGTGAGTGTCTGAGAGGGTGAGTGTCCGAGAGGGTGAGTGTCTGAGAGGGTGAGTGCCTGCGAGGCGCGTGGTGGAAATTCGACGCTAAGGCTGCGTTTGGAATCGGACATCGGCATCAGAGTCTTTGTTTGTATACCCTGGAGAAATGCGTTTCGGTCAAACCGGCCGGTTGGCTGTCCAGACCGTTATGGAGCGTCATTTGGATCGCGTGGCGGCCCACAGCGACACCGGCTTGTGCCTCACACCAAGAAGGCCCTGGGTTTGGTTCCCGACTCGGGTGCCTTTCTGTCTGGGGTCCGTACATTCACCACCCCTCCCCCCAATCCCACCCCCCACCCCCCCCACCACATTCTGCAATGGGGTTCCCCTCCGGTCCACTCCGATTTCCTGCCACGACCAAATAAAAAAACCAACACGCGACGCGACGGGCACCGGGCACGAACATCCCACAACGCTCGAGGAGCGAGCGAAGCGGTCGACTGGAATTCTCCGTCGACCGATCCACCGAGTCGGCCCGACCGTCGTCCCAAGATTCAATCTGAAACCGGCCCAGGCTGGCGGCCAAAGAAAGCCCTTTTCCGCCAAGCCCACAGCGACCGACCCCAGCGTGCCCCCCCCCCCCCCCCGTGTGCCTTCCCAAGGACAACCAGCCGTGCCGCTACGACCCCCGCAGCCGCGGGGCCTACCTCACGTCGTACGGGCGCATCCAGAAGAACAGCGAGGCCGGCCTGCAACAGGCGGTCGCGAGCGTGGGGCCGGTGGCCGTGGGGATGGATGCCGGCCGCAGGTCCTTCCAGTTCTATAGAAACGGTAAGGACCTCGCTAAGTGTTAAGCACCATCATCGCCATCATCTTGTCTTTCTCCCCACACCTCTGATTAATTATCTGCGTAAAAAAGTTCAACGCACAGGACAGTCCGTTCTCCTATAACGCCCGCGTGTTTTCAGAACGCGAATTGGCTATAACGCGATGAATGTATATATTTATTTTATAACGCGGATGCGAATTGGATGTAACGTGATCTAGCGAACGGAGCTACGTTGCGCATGAGTGGGAGCAAGCGGTTTGTACGGCCGTCTCACAGTAGCCTCATTGCGCAAGGCATTGGGATGCTGCTGGATGTTTATAGATCAGCGGTTCTTCTTCTTCTTAACCTAAGCATCTGCCTGGGAATTTTGTACCATCGGACACTCCACCCCCACAACTCCCAATTGGTGATGGGGCAGTTATGGAGAGAGTGGAGAGTTTCCCATACCTGAGCAGTGCGCTCATGACCGGCTCCGGTTTGACAGCAGAGGTATCGCTCCGAATCAGTCGAGCGGCATTATCTTTTCATCGGTTGCGTAACGCTGTGTGGATGCTACCTGGTCTGTCGCTCCGCACGAAGCTTCAGGTCTTCTCGGCCACAGTCATTCCCTCCCTTCTATATGCTTGCTAAACGTGGACCCCCCCTAATGGAACATCTTCGCCGGTTAGAAACATTTAAGCTGACTTGCCTACGATCCATCCTGGGTTTAACCAGGCTGGATTGTGTTAGGTGCTCACAAATCCTTGAAAGATCTGGACAAAGTCCCATCGGTGAGCTCCTCCGGCAGGCAAGGCTGCGTTGGCTGGGTCATGTAGCCCGCATGCCCAGCCACTGCATGTCTAAACAGCTTTTCGTTTGACTGGATAGAGGGGGCTAAATGGGCGCGTCACGGGCTAGAGAAGAGATGGAGTGATGTGGTACAGGAGGACGTAGAGCTGAGTGGACTTGCCGATGACTGGTACCAGCGGTGTCAAGATCGGCCTCTGTGGAGGAGGCTCGTGAAGGATGCTGCTGGGCAGTTGGAGGCAGTCACCCTCCAGCAACAACGAAGGGCAGAGGAGCGATGCTCACAACAACGAGCGGAGCGCCGGGTGGCTAAAGCACAGCCAGTTAGCACAGTAGTGGGCACAGGTGGTGCATCAGCCAGTCATCTCAGGCGTCTCAGTCAGTCGACCCGTGGCACCTGCTGGGTCTGCCCCGTGACCTCCTGCCAGCGGGCGTTCAACACTTCACGTGGCCTCAACGTGCACATAGCCTGGCACAAGCGTCGTGGTGACGTCACCGCCACTTAGTGGGTAATTGCGGTTGTTGTTGTAGTAGTAGTGGTGAGTGTAGTGGTGAGTGCACAAGTGGTGAGTGCACTAGTGGTGAGCGTCTTATTTGTTTGCGTTTCTAAACATTGAGATGTATAAGGGGCACGGGGTGACCAATAAGCTTCCCAATTGGTCTCTAACAAGGTAAGAGGGCACCCATCAGGGGTTGACAGCCATGGGGTTAAGAGAAGCAGCGCTTCTCTTAACCCGGTGGCCTGACACTTGCCGACGCCGTGACTGTGCCGCAGGTGTTTACTACGACCCGGGGTGCAGCCGCACCAGGATCAACCACGCCATGCTCGCGGTCGGCTACGACAAGGAGGGAGGTCACGAGTACTGGATCGTCAAGAACAGGTAGGGTCGGGTTGGGGGGGTTGGGGGGGGGGCGCGCTGCGTCGGACAAACTGGAGTCGCCGCTCACGGATTGATTGATCCACACCCGAGACAGCTTTTCCTAGAGCCTAGTCTCACATGGTGTTAGACCAGATGACGCTAAAAGGCGCATATTATCAGAGTTGTGTTTTTGTTTGCATTCCCACCGCAAGTATTGTGGTCAATGCAAACGTGACTCCTTGAAAAAAAGGTGTCAGTTTTGTTGCCAGATAAAATTATAAAAAAAAACAATTATCATATTTTGCTGCTGGCAAAGGAGGTTCCAATGGTGTTGTTGTTGTGTTGTTGTTGTTGTGTTGTTGTTGTGCTGTTGTTGTGTGCGCGTGGTTTGCTTCTCGTCGTGAACGTCTTTGCGCAGCTGGAGCAATCGGTGGGGAGACGGAGGCTACATTAAAATGGCCAAGCATCGGAACAACAACTGTGGAATCTCCAACTACGCCTGCTACCCAATCGTGTGACCTCCACAGCAGAGGAGGCCGCACGCTCGCACGCACGCACACACTCACTCACACACAGACAAAGGTCCCCCGTGTAGCCTTAACATAATGTTGGGGCAAGTGCTGTTAGCGTAGCACCTACGAAGGCCGGCACTGTGGCACACGAGGGGGTGGGTGGCCAGCACCACGCCCGGCCGCCTTTGTCTCCCCAGTGGCGACGCTTACGCAGCGCACCAGGTCCTCATTTGAGGCTGAGTCGACCTAGGGGGGAGGCCCAAGACCGGTTCAGATCGTCGTTCTTAGTTGCTGTCCACTCTCCTCTCTGCGTCTTCGCGAGTTCAGCCGCGCCTCCCTCTCGCCCCTCGCTCGCGGGAGTGCGGTGGGAGGCGCGTGTGACTTGCTCTGCGTGTTGTGCGTGACTGTGTGTGATTGTGCGTGCATGACTCTGTGTGCGTGAATGTGTGTGCGTGTGCGTGACTGTGCGTGCGTGACTGTGGGGAGCGGTGGTGCAGCGGTTACGAACCCGGCGACCCGAGTACAATTCCCGCTCACGGCCAAAACCGGTAGGGTTAAGGGACTAACACCGACCGACCAGCCACCAGTACGAACTTTGACCCCAAACCCTAACCAACTAACCAGCTGACTCACCAGCCACCGGTACGAGTTTTAACCCCTAACCCTAACCGATTAGCCAGCTGACTAACCAACCACCAGTACGAGCTTTGACCCCTGACCCTAACCGATTAGCCAGCTGACTAACCAACCACCAGTACGATCTTTGACCCCTGACCCTAACCGATTAGCCAGCTGACCCACCAGCCACCGGTACGAGCTTTGACCCCTGACCCTAACTACCTAGCCAGCTGACCCACCAGCCACCAGTATGAGCTTTACCCCCCTGACCAACTCGCCAACCATCCCCTTGTGTCAGCTCTTCCCATAACCAGAACTGGCCAACCAGGAAAAACACCCGAGATCAAACGAATACGAGCAGAACTCCGCTCTGTGTCACCGCATACGATGATTATTAAACAAACAATGAACAGGATAATAGTTTTTTTTTTTACCCTTTTATCTGGCAACAAAACTGACACCTTTTTTACAAGGAGTCATGTTTGCATAGACCACAATACCTGCAGTCGTAATGCAAACAAAAAACACAACTCTGATAATGTATGCACTGTCCTTGAAATTGATTGGTCCACACCCGAGACAGCTTTTCTTAGAGCCTAGTCTCACATCGTGTTGGATCAGATGACGCCAAAAGGTGCACAAGAAGTCCAACGTACACACGTGAAGGGTAGGGGTTCGAGTCTAGGGTAATGGCTTCGGGGTTAGAGTTCAGATTTTTGGGATGGAGATTATGGTCACGGGTTGAGGCTCGGAGTTATGGGTCAGGGTTATGTCCTAGAGTTTAAGGTTAGGAGTTAAGGTAACAGGAGTTAAAGGATTTAGGGTGCGGTGTATGGGTTAGAGTCTAGGGTTAGGGGTTAGAGTCATGGGGGCAGGAGCCTCATCTCTTTGTTATCGTTCTAGATTTGAAGCTTTCGTGACTGCAAGGATTCATATTCTTAGGGGTTTTTTTTCGGTAAAGTCACGTGGGTAAAAAAATTAAAATTAATAAAAGTTAAATAAAATAAAAATCACAAAAATCACGACGTTTCGGAGGCAACACTTGATACAGCTATCGTGCTGTGACGGTTCCACCTGAAGACGGAAGCTTGTGTTGCCTCCGAAACGTCGTGATTTTTGTGATTCTTTGTTATCGCTTCCGCTCTGCACGATCCTCAGTGGAAGTCTTTAGCTTTCTACACACCTCAGATCTTAACGAATCAAATGCGCACAATGATTGTTTTTTAATATATATAGCTGCGGCTTGCACTGTGATTTTAAAGATGCAATGTTCAATAAAGGGACGTTTTAACATCATTTGTTTACACACCACTGAGAAGATTGTGCTGTTGTTGTTCTGTGCTGTGATGTAAGGCGCGTTGACAAGCTATTGTGGCATTGAGTGCCATGCAAATGCAATTCCGAATCCCTTACATGGCGGTCGATGTTTCCCGATCGATAACACAGAGGGCACGTGGCAGCATACGAGCGTTTTAGCCCTTCTGGCCATGAAACGGGAGGTGTGAAGATACTCTCGGTAAAGTCACGTAGAAGGGAAATAATAAAATAAGAAAAATTAAACAATAAAATTATTCTCACGACGTTTCGGCCACAACGCAAGCAGCCGTCCTCGGGCGGCTGCTTGCTATTATTTTATTATTTCCCTTCTACGTGACTTTACCGAAAGAACCAAGAAGATGAATCCCTGCAGTCACGAAAGCTTTAAATCGAAATTTTATTATGTTTTATTTTTATTATTTTATTATTTCCCTTCTACGTGACTTTACCGAAAGAACCAAGAAGATGAATCCCTGCAGTCACGAAAGCTTTAAATCGAAATTTTATTGTTTTATTTTATTATTTTATTATTTCCATTCTACGTGACTTTACCGAAAGAACCAAGAAGATGAATCCCTGCAGTCACGAAAGCTTTAAATCGAAATTTTATTATGTTTTATTTTTATTATTTTATTATTTCCCTTCTACGTGACTTTACCGAAAGAACCAAGAAGATGAATCCCTGCAGTCACGAAAGCTTTAAATCAAAATTTTATTATGTTTTATTTTTATTATTTTATTATTTCCATTCTACGCGACTTTACCGAAAGAACCAACAAGATGAATCCCTGCAGTCACGAAAGAAGCTTTAAATCGAAATTGTATTATGTTTTATTTTTATTATTTTATTATTTCCCTTCTACGTGACTTTACCGAAAGAACCAACAAGATGAATCCCTGCAGTCACGAAAGCTTTCAATCAAAATTGTATTATGTTTTATTTTTATTATTTTATTATTTCCATTCTACGCGACTTTACCGAAAGAACCAAGAAGATGAATCCCTGCAGTCACGAAAGCTTTAAATCAAAATTTTATTATGTTTTATTTTTATTATTTTATTATTTCCATTCTACGCGACTTTACCGAAAGAACCAACAAGATGAATCCCTGCAGTCACGAAAGCTTTAAATCGAAATTTTATTATGTTTTATTTTTATTATTTTATTATTTCCATTCTACGCGACTTTACCGAAAGAACCAACAAGATGAATCCCTGCAGTCACGAAAGCTTTAAATCGAAATTTTATTATGTTTTATTTTTATTATTTTATTATTTCCCTTCTACGTGACTTTACCGAAAGAGCCAAGAAGATGAATCCCTGCAGTCACGAAATATTTAAATCGAAATATACTCTCGGTTCTTTCGGTAAAGTCACGTCGGTAAAGAAAATAATAAATAAAAAGAACCAAGAGTATGGATCCTTGCAGTCACGAAAACTTCAAATCTAGAATATATTCAAATAGATGCCCTTTGCAAGGGATCAAGTCTTGCACAATTATGGTGTCATACTTGAATACTCGCAGCTGCTCACACCCAGCGATACGTGCTCTCTGCCACGTGGCGTTGTTTTTGTGCCGTTCGCCTTCTCGCGTTATTCTCTGGTCTGACGCTGATGGTGAGTTCAAGTTCAAGTTCATGTATTAGGTGTAGCCCTGTGAGCCATTCGGCTCTTGAATCGGGTGCAACCGCAACAAACAGAAAACAAAAATATGAACAAGAAAACATCTTAAAGTGACTATGTGCAAACAGAAAATCCAAGAAAAGACAGAAAAATATTGCAGAAAAAGCACCGTACACCAACACTGTGTGCAAAAATCCCAGTGGGATGCAAGTCAAACAACAACAACCACAAGACAACTTAGATTAAGGCCATCAGTCTAACTCTGTACTACAACAAACTAACATGGTCAAACCAAAAAACTTTTCGAAAATCACCAAAAAAAAAGCCATAAAAGCAATGAAACAGTGATCATAGGAACTGTGACCAAATTTTCACAATAAACGACGTCAACAACATGTACTACCAAACTCTGCAGCCATAGCTGGCTGCATGAGTCACTCCACAACAGCAGGAGCATCAGTCGGAGACGAGGCCATAGAGAACAAGGCCGTCTCTGGTGTAAGGGGCCGTCCATAAATGACGTCACGCACCTAGGGGGGGGGCAGATTTTTGTGACGATGTGTGACAAGGGGGGGGGGGGTGGGTTTGAGAAATGTGACGTCACATCAACATGCGCAACTTTAAATAAATATAGACAATACGTTCTACTTAATTAAATAGACTTTTTAATAAATGTTTTCTCCTACAACATCAGAGTGCAGCGGCACATTAAATACGCACTACAATGACAATAGTTTAAAGCGATTTGAAGCATGTTTTATAATTGGGGGGGGGGGGCAGAGCTTTGTGACGTCATATTTGAGGGGGGGGGGTCTGACTTATTGTGACGCCGTGTGACGAGGGGGGGGGGGGAGCGTTAAAAATCGTCTAAAATCGCGTGACGTCATTTATGGACGGCCCCTAAGCCAATCAGTTTTAAAGACAATACGTATACTCTTTGGTTCTTTCGGTAAAGTCACGTAGGTATCAAATATAAAATAAAATAAATCACGACGTTTCGGGCGCAACACAAGCGTCCATCATCAGGTGGGAAAGCATGGTCTGCTGCTGATGAGGCAGACTGTTTAAAAGGTTTGAAATGGCTGTAGCTCAAGGGTCATAAAGAAGTGGCCGGGGCGAGTGATGTTAATGTGAGAAATTAGCATGAAACTGTAAGATAGGAGGAGAGCGGCCTCCTCGACGAGGACACGGAAGTGGCTATGTTAATGTGAGAGATTAGCATGATGTTAATGTGAGACATTAGAGTGCATGGAAGTGGCTATGTTAATGTGAGAGATTAGCACGATGTTCATGTAAGAAATTAGAGGGCACGGAAGTGGCTATGTTAATGTGAGAGATTAGCATGATGTTAATGTGAGAAATTAGAGGGCACGAAAGTAGCTATGTTAATGTGAAAGATTAGCATGATGTTAATGTGAGAAATTAGAGTGCACGGAAGTGGCTATGTTAATGTGAGAGATTAGCATGATGTTAATGTGAGAAATTAGAGTGCACGAAAGTGGCTATGTTAATGTGAGAGATTAGCATGATGTTAATGTGAGAAATTAGAGGGCACGGAAGTGGCTATGTTAATGTGAGAGATTAGCATGATGTTAATGTGAGAAATTAGAGGGTACGGAAGTGGCTATGTTAATGTGAGAGATTAGCATGATGTTAACGTGAGAAATTAGAGGGCACGGAAGTGGCTATGTTAATGTGAGAGATTAGCATGATGTTAATGTGTGAAATTAGAGGGTACGGAAGTGGCTTTGTTAATGTGAGAAATTAGCACGATGTTAATGCGAGAAATTAGAGTGCACGGAAGTGGCTATGTTAATGTGAGAGATTAGCATGATGTTAATGTGAGAAATTAGAGGGCAAGGAAGTGGCTTTGTTAATGTGAGAGATTAGCATGATGTTAATGTGAGAAATTAGAGGGTACGGAAGTGGCTTTGTTAATGTGAGAAATTAGCATGATGTTAATGTGAGAAATTAGAGGGCACGGACGTGGCTATGTTAATGTGAGAGATTAGCACGATGTTAATGTGAGAGATTAGAGGGCACGGACGTGGCTATGTTAACCCCTTGGGCTACACCCATTTCAAACCTTTTAAAACAGTCTGCCTCAGCAGCAGACCATGCTTTTTCACCTGATGACGGACGCTTGTGTTGCGCCCGAAACGTCGTGATTTATTTTATTTTCTACCTACGTGACTTTACCGAAAGAACCAAAGAGTAAGGCATCGATTGTTCGTGCAGCCGGTCGAATGTGACGAGGCGGGATCTGTTCTTGTGCCGATAAGGCAGGACAAAAAGGGGGATAACGGAGGGCATTGCCAACGTCTGTGGTTGTTGCGCGCGACATATGGGGAAGTGATGAGGTCAGGCGAGTGAAAATAACCAAAACATTTGCAACGGTAATCATGATGATGCGTACACATCGAAAAAGTGTTGGTTTTCTCGTGGTGGCATCCTTCCCCGTTCCACTGCTCAGACCTTGTCCAACATCCCCTTCAATCTTGATTTGTGGTTGTTCCACCTGATGACGATTGCTTGCGTTGCGATCGAAACGTCGTGATTCGTGTGATGTTATTTCTACCTACACGTGATTTTACCGAAATAACCCAGAGAGTATAAACATCCCCTTCTTTAGTGATGCAACTTTGGTCGCAACCTCTTTTGCAACTCGGTTGCATTTTGATCGCCATCATCGACGTCGTCAGCCACGGTGTTGTCCACTGCTGACGGAAGATCATCACTCGCTCGATCTCTCTCTGTGTTCGTGGTTATCGCGCGCGCAATGGTTTACGATTCGTCGCGTTTCTCTCGGCCACGGAAGGTAATGACAGGGGAGTCAGTCTGCAGTGCGTATGGACTAGTGGCCACGGGAGGTAATGACAGGGGAGTCAGTCTGCAGTGCGTATGGACTAGTGGCCACGGGAGGTAATGACAGGTGAGTCAGTAGGCAGTATGAATGAACTAGTGGCCACGGGAGATAATGACAGGGGAGTCAGCTTGCAGTGTGAGTGGACTAGTGGCCACGAGAGGTAATGACAGGGGAGTCAGCCTACAGTGCGAATGGACTAGTGGCCACGGGAGATAATGACAGGGGAGTCAGCCTGCAGTGCGAATGGACTAGTGGCCACGGGAGGTAATGACAGGGGAGTCAGCCTGCAGTGCGAATGGACTAGTGGCCACGGGAGGTAATGACAGGGGAGTCAGCCTACAGTGTGAATGGACTAGTGGCCACGGGAGGTAATGACAGGGGAGTCAGCCTACAGTGCGAATGGACTAGTGGCCACGGGAGGTAATGACAGGGGAGTCAGTAGGCAGTGCAAATAGACTAGTGGCCACGGGAGGTAATTACAGGGGAGTCAGCTTGCAGTTCGAATGGACTAGTAGCCACGGGAGGTAATGGCAGGTGAGTCAGCTTGCAGTACGAATGGACTAGTGGCTACGAGAATGATCAAGAATAGGAGCGTGGCAAGGTATCAGAAAAGGACGGTAGAGTCTGCTGGTAGAGCGAGCGGTCTAGAGCCAGAGAGAAGGTTC